TAGTCTCTTATTCTTATTCAATAGTAAGTTTATATTTAGTATGAAAAAGGATCGAGTAAATATTTCCCCCAGTGTTACCTTAAATAATACACCAAATAAATAAATGTCAAATTTCAAACTCATACCTACGTAGAACACTTTCATTTTGATTATCAAAAGAACATCTTTCTCAAAAGAACAATATTCTAAAAGTATAGAAAAATATATTTTAAGTATTAAATATCGTGTCAAAAATTTGTTTTTTCCATTCTCCATACTTACCTATGTGAAAGTGTGGGTAAAGATACCTACACAAATGGTCCATATATACACGCTATTAAGATCCCGAATTGTCAAGTCCATCGAAATCAAAATTGAAATTAAAATGGTCACGATCATCTTTTAAACATTATAAACCAAATGTTACCATCAACAAAAGCGATTCGTTTCTGGCACTTCGCCGGCCGCTACCGCGGCACGCTCGCTACGCTCGCTCGGCTCGTGCGTTGTTTTTCATACACTAACCCAACCTAACCCATATGTCATAATAAACCTATACAAGTTTTTGTTGCTTTACTTATTGTAAAGTTCTTGAGCATAAACGAGTCGTTTGTGGAATCGGCTCTTGTTATGTTTACAGTTTGAAATTGCCTAGAAAAAGTTAGTGAGTTCTATCTTCAAATGAATTATGTTTAAGTACACAACGCTCCATACGTCAAAGAAAAAGGGTTGCCAGTTTACACTAAATAGAAAATGAAACATTCAGTTGAAAAACGCAAAACTAAAATAAAATTTGGAATAGATCGGCTTGTAGTCATTTATTCTTATTCAAAAGTAAGTTAATATTTAGTTAATACAGATATTGGAGTTTTAAGTCCGCCTCTTGTTATGTTGGGTTAACAGTATAAAATTGCCTAGAAAAAGTAAGTAAGTTCTGTCTTCAAATAAAATATTTTTAATTACGCAAAACATCATACACAAAAAAAAAAGATTGCCAGTTTACACGCAATATAAAAAGAAATATTCAGTTGAAAAACGTAAGAAAACTTAAAATAAATGTTATATACATCGCCTTATAGTCTTTTATTCTTATTCAATAGAAAATTTCCTAAAAATCACAGTATCAAAAAAAAACTGTTTTTTTATCATCCGGCAACACTTCAACTGAATACATTTTTTTTCTGTAAGTAATCTGAAAAATGTTATCAATAACGCCCAAATCAGCTATATAAAGTAAAACCCGTGAAAAATCATACATTTTCTAAATAAAATGGTCACTGTCTTAGCCGCCATCTAGAGTTTTAATATTTCAGCCTCAGACCTAAATAGCACATTTGTAAGCACATTTGGTCACAGTTCCTTAACCGATTGACCAGGTCTCCATAGATTATGGCTCGCTTCGCTCGCTTTTTCTTTTTTTCGCAGTTCTAATCTAACCGATTGACCAGGTCTCATTGATGGTGTCCTTTGTGGCTCGCTTCGCTCGCATTTTATTTTAGTCATAGTTCTAATCTACCCTACCCTACCAATTAACCAAATCTCTTTTAATAGTTACTCCTTATGGCTCGCTTCGCTCGCTTTTTGTTTTAGACACGTTGCTAACATAATCGATTGATCAGGTCTCTCTTAATGGTCTAGCATTATGGCTCGCTTCGCTCGCTTTTTGTTTTATTGACAGTTCTAATCTAACTGATTGACCAGGCCTCTATTGATGGTGTTCTTTATGGCTCGCTTCGCTCGCATTTTTTTTTTGGTCACAGTTCTTACCTTGCCAATTAACCAAATCACTCTTAATAGTTATTCTTTATGGCTCGCTTCGCTCGCTTTTTGTTTGAGTCACAGTGCTAACATAACCGATTGATCAGGTCTCTTTTAATGGTCTTGCATTATGGCTCGCTTCGCTCGCTATTTATTTTGGTCACAGTCCCTTAAACGATTGACCAGGTCTCCATTTATTATGGCTCGCTTCGCTCGCCTTTTGTTTTATTCACAGTTCAAATCTAACTGATTGATCAGGTTTTCGCTCGCTTTTTGTTTTAGTCGCAGTTCTAACCTTACCAATTAATCAAATCTCTCTAAATGGTCACTCTTTATGGCTCGCTTCGCTCGCTCTTTGTTTTAGTCACAGTTCTAATCTAACCGAATTACAATGTCTCGCTCGCTTTATTTTTCTGGCGAAAATATTGGATTTTTTTTCTCACCACGTAAAGATTGGTTAACGATACACAAACGGCTTATATATGCTTTAAAGCTCCCGAGTCGCCAGCTCGGTCAGTCTGAAATTTATATGGTGACTACTATCAGTGCTGCTAGTCGGTCACTCAAATTATTCCATCAATGATTTTACAAATGCAATAGTGAAATTTTCTCATGAAAACTTTCATTAAGGATGACATACATGAAAATTTCCTAAAAATCCCGGTGTCAAAAAATGTTCAGATTTTTTTTTCATCTGGCAACACTTCAGCTGAATACATATTTTTTGTTAAAAGTGTTCGGGAAAATGTTATCAATAACGCCAAATTCAGCTCTATAAAGTAAAAACCGTGAAATATGATCAATTTCCTAGATAAAATGGCCGCTGTTTAGGCCGCCATCTTGAATTTTGAAATTTCAACCTCAGACCTATGTAGCCCATCTATTGGCGTATCCAACGCAGTTTCTATTATTTTCCTAGCGGCAATAATGACTGCGCTAGAGTCCAAAACGTGAATAGTGGGCATTAAATCTTCAAACCGCCGTAACTGCCAGGTGTTGGCGATGAAAACAGTCAAATGTGAATTCGGGATGCGCCCTCCATCGACGGATGCCAATTTCCAAGTTCTAAAATTGTTCCTTTGACAGTTACAGTTTTTGGGGTAAATCTCAAAAAATACCCTAAAATCGGGTAAAATTTTTCCATGATACGAAAGAGTCTATAGAGATACACAATCGCTCCATACATGCCAAATACCTGCGGGGTTGCCAAGTCGGTCAAAATCGAGGTTGAATTTCAAACGTTGTTTGCTCTCAGTGTTGCCAGTCGATCGTTCTATTTTTTCCATCGGGTATCTTGAAAAGTTAAAATTAAAATATTTGCATCGAAAAAAATTCAAAATTCGACAAAAAGTGTTTCCCCAAAAATCTCATAAAGTATCAAAAATTTTCAAGATTTTTTTTCACCTGGCAACACCTCAGCTACTTTCCTGAAAATTGTTTCCCCGGAAGTAGTCTGACAAATGTCGCCAAGTGCGTCAAAATCGGCTCGACGTGGTGACGATACCCAATTTTTCGGATAAAATGGATGCTGGTTTGGCCGCCATCTTGAATTTTGAAAATCCGGCTCCATACCGGTGTGGCCAATTCGATAGCGCATCTGATGCAGTTTTAACCATTTTCCTAGTGGCAATACTGACCGCGTTAGAGTCGACAAAGTAAAAAATGGGCAAAATTTTTCAAATCACCGCTCTTACCAGGGTTGCCAGGTGACGACGATGAAAATGTCCAAATGTCATTTTGGGGAGTGCCCTCCGTCGAGGAAATTCATTTTTGAAATTCCCAAACGGCTCCTTCTACTTTTCACCTTTTTGGGGTAAATCTCCGAAATCACCCTAAAATCGGGGAAAAATTTCACGTCATTCGAAAGAGCCAGCGGAGACTCACGACCAGTCCATACCAGGCGAAGAGCTACAATGTTGCCATGTAGGCTAAAAGTGCGTTTGAATTTTTCGAAAAAGTGAAAAAATCACAAAATGGCCGCTGCCGGCGCCGCCATATTGATTTTCCCGAGTTTCATAATTTTCCCATAGTCACAACTATATTTGGCGCGACACCTCATTCACAGATTTTCTCCACTGGCCACCCAGGTTCCCAAACAATTCGGGTTATGAGGGCATGTCGAAAAACACGTTTTCTACCGTGGAGCCCAGGGTTGTCAGCTCGCGGAAACGAAAACTGCCAAAAGTCATAGGGCTCCCCCGGCACCACACCGCACCGAGTCTGTTTTCCGCGAAAAGTGCGTATTTCGAAATTTCACTTTTCTCCCAAAATCTCATAAACTACCACAAAAATGGTAGAAATTAGTACTAATATGGAAAAATCTCACCGAGCCCCACGATCGGCCCATAGAACGCGAATCCGTCCGACGCCGCCATCTTGGAGAAAATCTCACTGGAAAATGGCGATTTTTCATTGTCGAAACAAAACGGCCGCCCCCGCCGCCGCCATGTTGACGCGCAAATAAAAACTCCCCGTACGTGTAAATCGACTATATTTCCGAGTCGCCAGCGTAAAAATCCCCCCTCCAAACCCACCACAAAAGAAACGACGATTGCCCGAACAGAGGTCGAATAATGTCAATTTTCGAGGTAAAATATCTCGGCCGCCATTTTGTTTTTTTAATCAAATCCTTTTTCATTGCCATTTTTTTAGCCCACTCTACGACCATTTTGAATATCGTAATCATAGAGTGTATAATGTAGAAATTAAAAAAATTATCTCGCCGCCATTTTGTTTTTTGGCTGTACCGATATGCCATTTCAACTCATTTTAAAAAAATATTATCAGTCTCCATACATGAAAATGTCATTTTCCCCCTCCTTCTACCCGAAAAAAGCATGGAGTGAGTCAGTGAGTCAGTGAGTGGTAATTAAGCTTTATATATTTTAAGCTTTATATATTATAGATTTATTATTTATATATATATAGATATATATATAGAATATAGATATGGTTATCTTGATATGCGGATTGTTACGAACAAATAGCGAAAATACTATGAGTTCGTTTTACAAGGTAAAAAATTATAAGCACTGTACAAAATCCAAGGTATGTGTAATTTTGTACACATAAGAAAAGCACTGTATATTTTTATTTTAACAAGACTACAAAATCGATTATGAATTGTTACTCGATACTTGGAAGAGAGGTGGCAACACTAGCATATACACTTGAAAGTTTCATGTTTTTCAACACCGTTTGTGTGAGGTGTATGATAGTGCTACATTTTGGTGGCTGAAAATTTAAGTAATTAATACATTCTATTATCTTCCACTACTTTTTAGGTTTTTCGCTAACTCTTGATGATACTCATCATAATCAGGAGATCTTTCGTATGTATAAATCTTATTTCCTTCCTTCCTTATCATCATTGGAGTTTCATCCAAATTCGTAGTATGTTTTGATTTGCTTTTCTTCATTGCTGTATACTCAGGTTCGTTTATTTTTTCCTCTGAACTTTGATTTTGGTCAAGTGTTTCAACTGCATCCTCTTCTAAGCTTGGTGAATCTTGTATAGCAACAGGATTATTTTGATTTGTCTTCTCTTTTTTATTTTGTTGCTTTTTATATTCAATATAAGCTTTGTAATTTTTTTCAAAGTCTTCATTCAATGAATCTTGTTCATCACTGTTAGTCTTCATCATGGGAATGTCAGCTTCGTTGCTCTTGTCCGTATTATGTTTAGCAGTTTCTTCGTCATCTTCCTCTTTCTTTTCAGTTTTATAAACATAATTTTCATTTGACGATTCTAATTGAAATTCCAAACTCTTTTTTTTATTGGTGTCTAATATTTCATCTCTCACATGAGCAGATTTTGTATTTGTTTCCTTATTATCACTATTATCATTATTTGACTGCTCTTCTGAAGTATTATTTTGTACCTTTAGTTCTTCATCTATTTGGTCCATATCGTCAGATTTATCTCTATTTAGTTGTTCTTGTGACGCTTGCCCAACAGCGTGCTTCATTTTTGTGAAGTGCTTATATTTCAAACTTAAACCATTAATCGGAACCAGTCTCTCTTCAAAACTTGTATCTGTGCTTTCATTCACTTTATGTTGAATAACTTTCTTTTCTTTTTCACCTAGGTTTGAGTTAGTAACGGTATATTTTACGGTTGTACTTCCAAAATTTCTATCCATTCCTTCTTGGCTAACATTTCTTTTTTCAGTAACCCTATAAACTGGATCCGCGATACTCATATTCCTTTTTACTAATCTTAATTCAAAATCTTTAATGTCCGTTATTTTTTGTACTGCCTTATCCGCAATTTTATCAGCAATTTCTTCAAATTTTTCAGATAACATTACTTTTTTTAAGAATTTGTCTACGTCAACTTCCTTTATTATACTGCTTGATGAAAAGGTGAATAATATTTCAAAAATAATAAATGTGCCATCTGTGAAAAGAAAACAAACCATTTTCCAATCAATTTTTTATATTTAGTAAATGGGAGTGAGCAAGAAATGCCTCCTTTTCTCATTATAGTAATCGTCATATTTGAATATCCTATTACAGGGGTACAAGCCTTCCCTATAAATAGCTACGGGCCAGAATTCCATCTCTCGTGATGTGCGGACTGGTTTAAATGCCTTTCGGAGCACAGATCAGCTCAAGATTTCTCCCATCCTATGATTGGCTCTTGCGAGTATGCTTAACCTGTGCAGACCAAATGCTCTTCAGTCAAAAAAGTGTCAAATACCATAACAGGGTATTTGACACTTTTCTGAAAACTACTTTAAATGGTCGTTTGATACATTTTAAATACACCGTCAATATATTTCATGGGAATTTGTTCTATTATCGATGAAAATAATCGTTAAACACGAAATTGGACTTTCATAAACATGCAACAACTGTCTGTAAAGCGGCAAATAAACTTTTAGGTTTTATTATTAGGGCTTCAAATAAGTTTAACAATCTGTTAGTGGCACGCGTGTTATATTATGTCTACGTACGTAGTAAGCTTGAATATGGGGCAATCATTTGGGATCCCCATGAAAATAAATATTTCCTTATGATAGAAAAGTTCCAACGAAAGTTTGCACGTTGGCTGTACAAAAAGGCTTACGGCTTCTACCATTTTCTATATCCTTCGCTATTTGTATCGGGTATGGTGAGCATTGACACCCTTGCGCTACGGTGAAAATTACTTCTAGTTCTGCATTACTTTTCTGTGCTTTACAACAAAGTTGACTGTCCTGATATATTAGAGAGATTCAGTTTTTTTGTGCCTGTGCGCATCTCTAATAACGATATGGGTTTCACGCCCCGCACGCGTGCCGTATACGCAGGCAGGTACTACACGTGCACTGCATCTCATTGGTGACATCCTTGCTCAACATGAAAAAAGTGATGTATTTTTTGATGGTATTACTCGATTAGCTATAATTGCTCGACATTTCTTAACCAGTATTGACTGTGTAATTGATTATGTGACTGTTATTATTATTATGTTCTTGACAAATTATTGTAATTTATATGACATTTATTTTAGTTCATTATTTTCATGACATGCGTACTATTCTATAATTTTGTTATTGACATCTTTTAAATGTAATTTAAAATTAACTAAACTAACATTGTTTTTTTTCTTCTTTTTATTGCTTTTACAAATTTACGAAGTAAACAAATAGTATTACAGAAGAGAAGTTGAAGTTAAAGTTATGTTTTGTATCTACTCTGGTTTTGTTTATAAAAATGACCTACAAATTGTACGTATAAATACAAATTTTACGTATCTCTAATAACACTGTTTTGACATAAAAACTTCCTGTTTACGTGTGACACCATATGCCGATAAACAGAACCTGTTATTGGTTGCGACGAGAACCAATTACAGGGCGTCTTCGTCGCTCATTAATTCCTAAAAATGTTGCATTTTTCTTTACGTTATATTTTATCTGCAGATTCTAAGAAATAAACTTATTAGATTATTACCTAACAGAATGACCACAAAACGCAATTTATTTTTAATAGTGTCAAATATCCTATTAGACTTTTCTAAGTCAAAGAGACCTTTTCAATTAAATGAACTGTGGACATTCATTATTCTTTATAATAACCAATTGCTTACATGATAATTTTCTGAGGATTCTCATTTTCAATACCCAAGTTCATATAGGTTTACATCAGTTTTTAGTGTAAAATATATACCTTAACATCACGTCAAATTTAATGTTTTATAACGTATATTTATGATGCGTATTTTATAGGTGTGTAAAATATAAACTCAGCGTGCAATAAAAGTAACGTTATTATGAATTACTTTAAAATGAAATAAAGGAATCCGTAGAAACCAAACTGTAAAATCGACGCGATAGTGATTTTAGAATTATGTTGGGTCTAACATATCTAAGAAGGTTAAAAGCTATCCTGTTTTCTACACTAATATTATGTGTAAAGAGATAAGATTTAATTATTTGTTTACATCGAATAAGCTCCCATAACTAATGGACTGATTATAAAATTCTATTACATAAGTTATATCAGATTTGGCTGGCGGGGGCTACGATTTACGCTTGTATTATTTATCAGCTAGTACTAATTAGTTACTAATTATTCCTCAAATTGCTAAAAATAGAGGTAAGATTAGAGACTCGGTTCTACAAGTAATCCAACCCCTATAGTTTAGGCAGTACGTAGATATTTCAGCCAGTCATTCCATCAATTCAATGTTCCTTATCAACATATCGATTAAAGACATCATTACTTTTATTCGATTAACTTATTTATTTTTATCCCATAAAGAATCTATCTACTGTTATGTGTTGTCACTGGTCTGTCTCATTGACTAAATCAAGATATACCCCAGAGTAATATTATAAATATACCCGCCATCGCACCTTGTTTGTTTGCCGTTTTGTATTAAACGTTTTATTATTAGAATTTTGCCTAGAAACTCGTAATAGTTTTATAGTAGCTATGTCTTTTCCCGCTTTACGTCAACCGAATATAATTGTTCAAGAGAAGTCTAAGAAAATTGAAAATGAAATACAAAATGTGATAGTATCATTAAAAAATAATAAAAATCTCGTGGTATCATCAGACGCGTATCACGGTATTCTGATGGGTCGCAATATGTTCAGATGCGTTTTCTGTCGTGCCGAAATGGAACTTGAGTTCAAATTTAAAGATGCGCACGTTAATTCACAAAAACATAAGAAAGTATTAGAAAACTACCCGCATACAGAAGAACATGGTGAAAATTTAATAAGAAAGGTAAACTAAATTGGTAACAAATCCTATGCTCTATTTTACAGAACTTGTAAATTAAACACACATCATGAGACTTTAAAACAATGAATATGCCACAACTTAGCAGAAGACAACTATAAAAAAAATATTTATTTTCTATGTTAACCTGACCATGTCCCTATATCTCCTGGATCTTGGAGAGATTCAAACCTGTACACGCACAACTCAATTATGAAGGCCATTAAAACTAAAAAACTATGTTTCCCTCAATGACTGCCTGCATGGTTTTGTATAACAAAACTTTTGAATCACCAATTCTATTAAAAAAACTGCATCAAAATTGTTGCAGTTTTAAAGATCTAAACATACATAAAGACAGACAGACATAAAGTATCTTTGTTTTTAGTAGGTATTGAAGCCTTAATATTACTATCAAATAATGTTAGCTATTGCAAATGTATCTCTTGTTTGAATTCCAAGTTTGAGTCTCAGTCAAATCAGTATGATTTTATTATGGATGATTATTGTTATTTTTTAATTACATTTGTCATTTTAGGTGGATAAGATCAGTTACTACTGTACACTGTGTAATGTCATTGTTTCAAATCCATTTCTTATACGACACATCGGCTCAGAAGTACACAGTCAGGAGTTACAGAAGGCTGTCACTCGAGCTCTTATTTATGAACCTGCAAAATGATCTCTTTAATGAAGGCAGAATAATTCAACTTTGACATAAAGATATTTAACTTTGGTGCTTTTAAAATGTGAGTGAAAATAATACCTACTTAAGTACAGTTAGATTTAACTTATGATGTAGATCTTCATTTTCGAGCAAACTTATTCCAGATGGTGATGGAACATACTATTACAAATGAGATTTAACTTCAATAACTGTGGTGCATAATACAATTCATTTTCACTCAAAATCAGTTGGTGTTAAACAGTTTGATCGCTCAATGAATCATTTGGTTAGCATAGAATCTCCACATTTGAAATTTACTCTTCTGCACAGAGGTACATTGGTGAAATATATCAGTTGGAATTGCATGTACCTAAACAAAAATGTAAATCCTGAAATAATATTTAATTATTGATTTAGCTATTCTTTTAGATTTAAGTACAATATAGTATGAAGGTACATAATAAAAAGTTTTTATGTTGTCATTTTATAAATTTTATCTGAAATGAAATGAGTTTGGATTTTAGACTTCAAACATTATCTGCCATATTCTTGTGGATTTCGCAAGAATCCAGTCGCTCAGATTACTTCATATTTTAGTATTTAATATCAGTATGTTGTTAAAGTATGACTGACAAAGTTGTTAAAATCAATAAAACCTTTTTTGTAACTATTTCTTTGAATAAATAGTCATAGACAAGTCATTTATTGTTTTTATGAAAATGGTATGTAATTTTTATCCGTTTACCCTAAAAATCCTCAAATCCTGTTGTTTTAAACTCTCATGGCCATTTGTTTTTTTATTCTATCATTCTAATCTATACTTAATTTAAATAATAATATAATCTAGTATTTTTAACCAGCTGGAAAATATTTTTAAAATACTTCTGTCTTCAAAAATTATTTTTTGAATTGTTAAATATGAATGTTATTTAACAGTTGCAACAGTGGTTTTTTAGTAAATTGAAGACCTATTATTTGAAATTTGAAAAAAAATGGTCATATATATCTGTGTAGAGTTAGATAAAGTTATTGTGTATGTAACTTAGATGGATAAAATTATTTGCATTCAATTATGCAGAACCGAGTTAAAATTAGAATTAGAAACTTACTTTCTTACAACCAAGAATTAACTATCCAATTTATGCTGTAGTTTTATAGAGAGATAATAACATGAGCTTGATTAGTAATAACTGAAATAGATCACAATTGAAAATCACTTTATACTTAACCAATAAACTTTTATTACTTATTTTACACAATGACACTTTTACTTTTGCTTCCGTTTTTTAGACTTCTTCTTGATTTTTTTCTGCGTTGACCTGTTGATTTTGGCTATTTTCCTCTTGTGCAACCAAATCGGATATTGGCCGTTTTGGTCTTTCAATGTTTTTGTACTGAATATTCGCTTTTTGCCATTATCGCCGTCTACTTCGATTTTCTCGTCATCGGAACTCATTTCGACGTCTTCGTCGTCCTCTGTGGCCTTCTTTGCTTTGTTTTTCTTGTTTATTTGCCCAGCGTCAAGAAATATGACTTGGTCCGATTCCATAACCTCATTTTCTGTCACTTTTTCTTCTTTTATTCCAAGCATTTTCTTTAATCGTGCCAATTCTTTGACGGCATACCTTTCGCGCTTGATAGCTCGACATTTTCGCTTCCATCTACTTCTCATTGACTTTGCCATTGTGTTGATTTATTGGATCTAAATATTTTGAAATGTGCTCCTTTCTGAAACACGACATGAAGAAACTGTGATTAGTGGTGGGCTGAATCGATTACCATTAATCGATTTTAAAACAATCATTTACTCAAAATGTGTTGGTAAGCGCATAACTCAACAACGCCTCGACCAATTTGGCCAAATCTTTTTTTAAAATGTTCGTTGAAGTTCAAGGATGGTTTTTACGGTGAGAAAAATTAGAATTATTGCTGGAAAAACCCTAAAAATAGCCCTTTTCTTTTTCCCATACAAATGATTTGTAACTAAAACGTAGTCAATTTGAGCTTTATTGCTATGGTATAAAGTTCATATTAAATTACAAGTACTCACTGTTGTCTAAGCAATGTAGGTGTGTTCCTAACGTCAAAGATCATATCTATCAAAACAATGTGCGTGTGTGCGTTGGAGCACAGAATACATAGTTGGAGGAGTTTAATGTCGCGTTCCGAAACTCGCGTTTCTTTTGTATTAGTTTCGGCACGCGAGATAAAATGCATCAGAATTTTTTTAAATACGTAGGCAAAAAAACTGCCACATTACAAATCTTTTTGACAGGACGAAGTCTGTCGGGTCAGCTAGTCTCTTATATATAAAAATGAATCGCAAAATGTGTTGGTAAGCGCATAACTCAACAACGCCTCGACCAATTTGGCCAAATCTTTTTTTAAAATGTTCGTTGAAGTTCAAGGATGGTTTTTACGGTGAGAAAAATTAGAATTATTGCTGGAAAAACCCTAAAAATAGCCCTTTTCTTTTTCCCATACAAATGATTTGTAACTAAAACGTAGTCAATTTGAGCTTTATTGCTATGGTATAAAGTTCATATTAAATTACAAGTACTCACTGTTGTCTAAGCAATGTAGGTGTGTTCCTAACGTCAAAGATCATATCTATCAAAACAATGTGCGTGTGTGCGTTGGAGCACAGAATACATAGTTGGAGGAGTTTAATGTCGCGTTCCGAAACTCGCGTTTCTTTTGTATTAGTTTCGGCACGCGAGATAAAATGCATCAGAATTTTTTTAAATACGTAGGCAAAAAAACTGCCACATTACAAATCTTTTTGACAGGACGAAGTCTGTCGGGTCAGCTAGAACTGTGTTGAGAAGACTTTTTACCAATACCACAAATAGTTTCGAAACATTGCTAGACCAGAAGGTAACCGTAGATTTAGACGTGTGCTATACAAAGCTAAGCGATCATACGGAAAATCTTTTTAAATTAGACAATGAAATAAAAAACTTGATTTTAAGTAAAGAATTTGACGAAAATGATTTAGAGGAAGAACTTATATCAGTTGACACCTATAAAGAAAAATGGCTGCGTATTAAGAAAAAATTTAACGATATATCAAAAGTTGCGGAAAAAGCAGATATTATAGATAAAGAATTAAATCAACAAGCCAGAAATCTAAAACTGCCAAGATTACAATTACATATTTTTGATGGCGAGTTAAAAAACTGGTTGCCTTTTTGGGGTCAATTTAGTAAAATTGATAGTGACCCAATAATGGACAAAATTGATAAATACCAATATTTGGTACAGTCAGCAAAAGAAAACTCGGAGGTTCGTGAATTGATCGAGAGTTTTTCTCCAACAACTTATGACGAATGTTTAGAACAGTTAAAGGCGAGATACGCGAGAACTGACTTACTCACACTTATATACGTAAGAGAAATTTTGGGAATCATTCTAGTAGACAAGAAAGATTCAATAACTCATTTGCACGATAAGTTAAACGCTCAACTGCGTGCGCTTGAAACTCTAGGTCTTACTATTAAAAATTATGCCGCGATCTTATTACCATTGGTAGAATCTGCTATACCCCAAGAGCTTCTTAGAACATGGGAAAGAAACAGGCAGAAGACAAAAGACTTGTCCGAAGAATTAACAGATTTGTTAGAGTTTTTGAAGAAAGAAGTTGCAAGTGAGCAAAGAATTCTTATGTCAAGGGAAACATTTAATAATAAGGAACAAAAAGATTTGTCAATTGGAAAACCAAGTACTGCAGAATGTCTCATATCAAACATAAAACAAAAACAACTCGTATGTTTATGGTGCGACAAAAGCACACATGGAAGCCTCGAATGTTATAAAATACAAAAAATGTCATTGGAACAGCGACGCCAGATGCTAAAAGACAAAAAAGCATGCGCCATTTGTCTTAGAAAGGGTCATCATCCTAAAGCATGCAGAGCGATCGTCAAGTGTTTCATTTGTGCGAAACGCCACTCTACGGTCTTATGTACAGATCAGAGGACTGAGAGAAACCCAGTAATTTCAGGAAAGTCAGATGAGGCCGCTGCGCTTTCTTCCAGCATTTTTACAAAGGGACAGACTCTGTTACAAACTATTATAGTTGAAGTAGAATGTGGTGGTAAGAAATTACGAGTACGTACTTTGCTTGATTCGGGTTCTCAGCGCACATATATACGAGAAGATATTGTAAAGAAATTAGGTATGATACCTTTAACGAAGGAAAAGTTAGCTTTTTCATTATTTGGTGGACATGAAACTGAATCGCAAGACCGTAACGTATATAATATTAAGTTGAATTCCTTAGAGAATACATTTAGTATAATTGTATCTGTTATAAGCTTAAATACTATTTGTAATAACATACCAAAAATTAATTTTAGAGATGTGAATATTAAAAATATGCTTGTCAGACATAATATCTCCCTGACAGACAAGGGTGACATCTCAGACATTGGGTTGTTGATAGGTGCGGACTATTTAGGATTTCTGATAACAGGTACTATAGTTCAGCTGGAGGATGGTCTAGTCGCAATTAAAACCAACTTGGGTTGGGCGTTACAGGGCAAACCGGTGAGTATAAATAATTCATTTGATAAGGTTTTATCTGTTCTTTATTGCTCATGTGATAATAATAATTTGACAGAATTTTGGTCTTTGGAGACACTTGGGATTAGAGACCCAGCGGAGGTAAAGTCAAAAACGGAAATTGTCGCTGATACTTTAATGACTTTCCGAGAGAATATAAAAACATTGGACGATGGAAGGTATGAAGTTAATTTACCATTTAAGACGAATTTTGATGATTTAACTCCGAATTTTGAGAAAGCCAATAAACGGTTAGAGTCAATGACTAGACGGTTGATTGCAAGCGGAAAATATCAGTTATATGACGATGTTTTTAAAATGTGGTTGCAGTTAGGAATTATTGAAACAGCGAAAAATACTACTATCAACTGTGGACATTACCTACCACATAGGCCGGTGATAAAAGAGCAAAGTCTCACGACGAGTATTCGACCCGTTTTTGATGCTTCAGCTATCGATAAAAACGGTCTTAGTCTTAATAAGTGTCTAGAAAAGGGTAATAACTTAATTGATAAAATACCCAATTTAATCAATAATTTTAGAGTCGGAGTCATAGGGATGACAGCCGACATTGAGAAGGCTTTTCTTCAAATAAGTCTGGCAGAGCCTGATCGAGAATATTTGAAGTTTCTTTGGTTTGAAGATGATACAATGACGAAATTAGTCACATATAGACACTGTAGAGTCGTATTTGGGCTCACATCTAGTCCATTTTTATTATCAGCTACATTACAATATCACCTTAATTATATGGAGAATGGACCATTAGGTGGTACAGCGAAACTATTAAATAAATCATTTTATGTTGATAACTGTTTGATTAGTGTCGATACAAAAGATGAGGCTGTTAAGGTAGTTTCTGAAGCCAAAAGGATTATGCAAGTTGGTAAGTTTAATCTTAGAATGTGGGTATCTTCTGAAGGGCTAAATGAGGTTGGTAAGAGTGTGATTTCTATTTTGGGTTTGAATTGGAATGTAGTGACGGATGAGTTATGTTGCAATTGTAGTAGTCTTCCTACATTCAGCGAAATTGAAGGAATCACAAAGCGTAAACTTTTGTCTGTGGATCAAAAGATATTTGATCCGATTGGTTACACATCCCCAGTTGTTTTGACGCCTAAACTTCTTCTGCAAGAGGCGTGGCAACGACAGATACCATGGGATGAAAAATTACCTTCAAATTTGTTTATGAAGTTTCAAGACTGGTATCAATATATAAATTTTATAGGTGAATGTTCTATACCGAGACGGTTGTCGGTGGATATTTTGAGTGAATGTAGTGTTAGTTTTCATTTATTTTGTGACGCTAGTAAAAGAGGATATGGTGCTTGTGTCTTATTAAGGTCTGAGAAGGATAAGAAGGTGTCAGTTCAGTTAGTGGCCGCTAAATCGAGGGTAACCCCGTCACAAAATATGACTATACCTCGATTGGAGCTCACTGCTGTATTGATAGGATCTCGACTACTGGCTAATGTCAGAGATAGTTTACAACTGTCTAACTGTTCCGAATATTGCTGGACAGACTCTGAAGTTGCTTTGTGTTGGGTAAAACGCGAGCTTTCTCTAAACACATTTGTAGGCAACAGAGTGAAAGAAATCCGGCGAAACACAAATATTTGTGACTGGTACCATGTTCCAGGAGAACTAAATTGGGCTGACCTGGCATCTAGGGGATGTAACGCGAAAAAGTTATTTGAATGTCGCTGGTGGGAAGGACCGTCATGGTTACGATTAACACCAGCAGACTGGCCCCACTCGGAGTTAGTCGTAAACGAAAGAGAGGTACTTGCTGAAACAAAAAAGACAGTTTGTAATATAAATGTAAACACGGATGAGAATTTTATTTGTAGATTGCAGAAATATTTTTCAATATATTCAAAGACTATTAGAACGACTGCTTGGGTACTAAGATTTGCATATAATATTAAAAATATTGATAATAAACGGAAAGGAGAATTAACATCAAAAGAATTCGAAAAGGCCGAAGAGTTTATTATAAAACTTATACAATTGGTAAACAAGGAGTACTTAGATAAATGTTCAGGAAATTTAGTAACATTTAAAGACAGTGACGGAGTGGTTCGAATTAAAACGAAATTGTTATTATCAGATTTTCCCGAA